GTCATAATCACAAGGATACTGCACCAATTGATTATGTCTGTGGCAGGCAAAAACTTTTTGGATGTGAGATTATATCATTAGTGACAGGCAAAAAAGAAACAAGAGCTGATCCATAAAGAAAAGAAATCCAAAATTAAGGCCATTCAATATATCCCTTTCCCCAAACATGCAAGTTTTCAAGGTCTTCAGTATGCTTTTGGAAAGTAAGCCTGTCTCACTTATAGGCTGGGGATGAGCTGAAGTATCGTAAGAATGGGGAGAGGGACACAGCCAGCAGTGTCTACAGGAGGTGTCAAAATCTGCAAGTTGGGGGGTGAGGTGTTGTGATTGAAATCCTGCCCCTTTTGTACTTGCCGCAATGTTGACTGTGGTGCTGTGTCCACCATCTTGCAGATTTTGACACCTCCTATAGCCCCCAATGAATGCTGCCTTTCTCAATCTTTAAAACTACCTAAATGGATGTTTATCATATCTATACTGAACTACATTTACCATTCTGATATCCATTCATCCCATTTGGAGTGATGCTTTGTAACCATGCTTCTGCCTGCTTCAGACAGTAATGGAAATGGCAGACAGATACCCAGAATCCTAAGACTTGTTCCACACAAGGAACCCTCCGAGTGGCCACCAAGCTCCTTTCAAGGTGCTTGGCTGCAAGGTATTTATCCTGGTTTATATAGCTGGGTTCACAAAGCATACTAGCTCATGGTTTCTTTCATGGTTTGTTGAATAATCCAGAATTATCTGGATTCACACTCCAGGCTAGTCACACATTGCTATGATGTAGGCTTTTTTGGTTTTTGTGTGTACCTAGCATTTGTAATTTGTAAGCTGAGATTTATGACAGTGTGTTGTATGAATCTAACCAATTCAACGGAAACCATAGATTTGCTCTTGTGCATCCTAACCATCAATTACTGCACAATCAATGTATCTGGGTTCACATAACATGCTAACCTGAAATGAAACAAAATACAAAACCAAATAAAAACAAACCAATCACATTTTAATAGAGAACTTTATTCTCTATAGACAACCCATGACCCGCTGGGTCATCGTTTCAGAGATATTTCCTTACCTAAACAGAGAAATAGAATGACTTAGGGCAAAAAATCAGTGGGAATGTAAGCGACTTGCTGCTGGCTTCCCCATTGACTTTGCTAGTGGGAAGCTGGCAGAAGTCTTCCTTCTTTCCTTCCTTCCTTCCTCCCCTCACTTCATTTCCACATGTATAGGTTTGTGCCATTTGTCCTCCCCTCATGACCCTCAGGAGAACCCCAGTGAAGCTTCCTCCTCCTCAACTGATCCACAGAACTGCCTGCCACTTTGCTTGGGGGAGGTGGAAGAAAGGGAGCTGCAGACCACGAGGAATACTGCACCCCCACTCCCCATTCCACCATGTCCCCAAGGGCCCCCTCCGAGGGAGGAAGAGGGCTCATCCATCGACCACGGGCACCCTCCAGGCAGCCCTACCTTGGCAGCAGGCATCCAGGTCACTCCCTCATCCTCATCGCAAACTGCCATTAAGAGATTTCAAATTTCTGCCTCAGTTCCAAAGCAGCCAATTGCTGCTCGCCCATCAGGCCTTATCACCAGCCCATTGGGCACACAGGACAGAAGGAGGCAGGAAAGAGGTCAGGAATAAGCTGACAATTACGTGACCTGGGCTGACTGCTGCAGTGCAGTGCTGAAGCAGCCACAAATTTCCCAAATTTCAATCCCATGGGAGTAATGGGATGCATTCTGTAAGTTAGCCCATTTGAGGTACCTTAGTTCAAAAATTGTTGCCCTATGACACACAGTTTTGCCCAGTTGAATGTTATAGACACAAGAGTTTTAGTAGTATATAGATTAAATCCTTGCATACTCATCAGACTAATCCATAAATATTGACTGAAAGACTCTAGAAACAATTTAAAGTATGTTAATAGAGATTCAGCATTCAAAACTTCTGAGAAATCAAGATGTCAGTCAGAGAGAAATTTAAAAACTTAGAGTTTGACTATAACTTCCATTGTCCCCAATCATTAGCTCAGCCAACTAGGGCTGATGGAAGATAGAACCCATTAACATCCACAGGATATTCCCAATGCCTGTTTGAAAATAAATACTGAAGAATAGACATCTACTGAGTTAAGGAATATAGGTGAGAACTGCTTATGCACACATTTAAGAACATCAAAAATGATAGTAGATATTATTCACTCAAGTACATGTGAAGAGAAGCAATGATTTACTGTTATGTTTAGTACTGGCATCTTGTTGAAAAGTTAGGCGGTATTTTCAGCATTTTGTGTTCAAGAATCTTATACAGTGTGTGAAATTAATTAATGCAATTTTTAAAAATCTGTTCAATCGTGTCCAATTCTTGGAGATTGCCTGGACAAGTCCCTGCAATTTTCTTGGCAAGGTTTTTCAGAAGTGGTTTACCATTGCCTCCTTCCTAGGGCTGAGTGAAAAATGACTGGCCCAAGGTCACCCAGCAGGCTTTCTGCCTAGGTGGGACTAGAACTCACGGTCTCCCACTTTCTAGACGGATGCCTTAACCACTATGCCAAACTGGCTCACAAATAACAAAGACCAACAATTAGCAAAGGGAGTGTTCTAGAGTATAGAAATTACAGATCTCTGAATATTTACTAATTGTTGCTTTAATAATAATTATATTCTATTGCTGTGATTAAGTTTAAAAGGAAGGAGAAGCAAAAACATGATTTCAGAATCATAGAGTGCAAATTATTTTTCAGTAGAACATCAACATAACTGCAGGAATCAGAGCTTGGAGAAAAATGAGATTACCTAGAAACACAGTAAAGAGAATACAGTAAGTGAAAGATCTGTCATTATTTCTCTTTTTTATTGGGCAGATAATTTGAGACTGTTTGCTTCTACACTTCATTTTATTCCTTGCTACTTTCTTTTTCACCTCTTATGTATTCAGGAACTCTCTTCAAATAACAATATAGCAGCAGCGTTTCCTTGCAATTGTACTCTTGGAACAGCCTATTCCTCTTCTCTATCAGCCAGCTGATCAGCAAGCAGGAGTAAATAAATGGCACTGACAGCAGGAAACAAAGCAAACTTTGACAGGCTGAAGGCAAATTTCTTACTACTAATGGCTGTAGGAAACAAGTCACCTCCACTGGGTGGCTGGAAGGAATCAGCCTCAAAGCTTCCCCTTTTGCCCCAGAAACTATACTCAAAACCACAGAAAGGAAGGAAATTAAGGCATGTACGTCCATATGTATCTGGAACAAAAATTCATGTGCAGCCTTTAGGATCAAAAGTATTTTTCATGTATTTTACAGTGTGCCACTATACAATACCATACATAACTTTTCATTTGTGATCCCTTAAGTTTGGCTAAGTATCCACTGAGATACACAAACCTGATACATTAAAAGTGCATTAAAAGACTAGTACAGTCCTTTCCAGCTATAAATAGTTAGCATATATAATAAATAACAGGAAGGGCACAATAGATATACAGAAAACAGCTGTAAAGATACTCCTGAAATGCAATACATAAAAAGAAAAAATCACCCACGTATCCTACTGCAGAAATTCATTTTGTTCTACCGCTTGGTCCTTCTGACAACTACAGATTATGTGCATACTACAAGAAGGATTGTCCCTCACAACAAGGAAAATGTACTTCTATTGAAATCATATGATGCGATCCCAATCAAGTAGGTAAGTCATTCAACGGCTTGAATGAAGATGCTCAAATACCCTCTTCGTAATTGTCAGACCAGCCCTCCAAGAGGCAGTTTTCAGATGTGCTTTGCAGATACAATCTATCTAAAGATCCTTGACATGGGAAGAAACTGAATCCAAACTTTTCCTATAATTTGTTCATCCAAGTTCAACACTCATTGGACACAAATAGCTACATGAGAAAATGCTTAATAGTGTATTGGGGATAGAAATTTTATGATACAACTCAGCTTTCTACCTCCTCCATCCCTCCAAGAATACCAGTGTCATGGTTTTAGCATGAAGCAACATTTCTTTTTTGAAGTCTATGCACATATTAAAAGACCTATGCTCTATAATTACAAGTGAGGTAGACAGACACATTCATCTCTGTACCTGGCATTTTCTAGAATTGCCATGTTTCAATCTGAGACCCCAATACCCTGAGTCTTTTTGTCCTTCTTACAATATTT